TTCGCTTATATAGATACCTAAATATTTTATGTCTTAATGTGTAAAACAGGATATTTTTGTACGATCACATATTTCATTTAAGATTATATGTATATGGGCATTATCTTCAAAACATTATTTTAAACCATACATTTTCTTTAAACTAGACCTTTATTTTATTTGTCGTATACTTTATATAAACAAAAAAATGGCATAATGATAATAAATCCCTTCTATTCGTACATTTTGTCAAAAAAATATAAACTAGGTAGCTTATAAATTTATATTAAAATTAGATGCTTTTTAGTGATATATTAACAGCATTTTCTAGACCTATTCAAAATCAACAAAACTTTTAATACATAAAAGTAAACTTTGACAATGGATACATACATTTTCTAGAAGTTAAAAACAGCTTCTTTTTTTAATAAATGCACCTGCTCCTTTCAAATAATATACAACTAACTATCGATTTGCATTCATCACTGGAGCCATCTGCCACTTTTTATAATACTACAAAAAGGCAGATAAAAACGACATAAAATGTTGGGGACAGCTTTAATAATTAATAATTAATAATTATTATAATAAAAATATATATAAACATGCCAATGTTAAATTATAGAAAAAGTTAATGGAGACTTAATAATTAATAATTAATAATTATTATAATAAAAATATATATAAACATGCCAATGTTAAATTATAGAAAAAGTTAATGGAGACTTGGACAGAAGGGGACAAGTTTATACAATTTTTATAGAATAGAATGCTATATTTTCAAAAATAAAATGCACTATGGGCACCGTATTTTTAAATTAAAAAAATATGTTTAGAAAGGCATTCATTTACACAAAATAATATTGTACTTAATATTGCACTGTGTATTAATTTTTTATCATAATAATTAGAAGATCAGGTATAAACATAAAAATATAATAATAATAATAATAATAATAATAATACTAATATAACAGATACATATTTTATATGATGCTCAATTAAAAATGTACGCAACACCAATAATAAGGTATAAGGTTAACTTTTGATAGAATAATTAAATAAAAAAATAATTTGTTTTTTCTAATCCATTATCGTACATGTTTTACACACTAAGTGATCTTTTAACACGACAAGTTATGGTTATTTAGGTTTAGTGTGTTAAGTCACGGGCTGCAGTTAGTTTTAAGTTAGTTGACAATTGTCAAATGTCATACAATCGTAAAAATAAGGTTCTTGTGAAATAATAATGTGGAAATTATTTTATTATATTTAATAAATAATAAAAAGTATAAAATGGTTTTTAAAAGCCAATACCTATTAATTGACCTTTTGATTTTGCCGGCAGTAAACTAAATTTAACTAAATTTTTGTTGGAGACTCCACCGTAAAGTGCCCTTAAAATATTCCATTCACTTTCACTGTGAACAACTGCTTCTATATCATTATATAAAGGGTTGTTAGTCCGCGGGTAATACACATTTCCAAGTTTAGACATTTTTACGCGAGTTACTCTATTTTTTATAGATGTCGCTCTATACAAATATTTAATTTAAATAATTTTTGTAAAATAATAAGTATTCGTCGTAGAAAAAGTATGGTATGCAACTTGTTTGTAAACTTTTATAGACCCTAATTCAAATTCGTGACTAAAATGGCGTTTATTAAACATGATACAAAATTTTCTATTTTTTAATAAATATGAGTAAAAAGGGTAACACAAAACAGAAGTAAGTAAATAATTTATGTATGTAAGAAAAGCTTAAAAAATGTTCAAAATATTATTTTCTGTAACAAGTTTGGTATATTTATTTATTTATTCATTTATTTTTAAGTTTTAATGTGCTTCCAACAGGCACGGGCCCAATTACATGAATACACAGACAAACGCAAATAAACGGGTGTCGGGTGTTGTTATTACTTTCCCCACTCTCTTAGAATAAATTACTAAAAACTGACTCGAATTTTACCGAATGCAACAGTCCATAGTAAATTTGGTTTCAAAGGTTTTTTCTTTAGAATAGTTTTTGTTTACTCACAAAAGCAATCGCTGGTGACTTATTACCTAATTTAACTATTTAAGTAGCTATTTATTGAAAACGACCATTCGTTGACTATTCGTTGTTTTCGTGTTAAGGTAGAAATTGTGTTTACGTTTTCTTTTCTTATTTAACAATTAAGAAATTGCATTTATATTTATTATGTGCTGCTTGTAACATTTCTTTTTTTTTTAACTTGAGAAGGTCTCGCAGTTATTTTATTTAAGGCAAAGATTAAAAAATGGTTTGCTTACTTACTTAAGATTTATGTGTTTATTAGGAACTACTTGTCACGTCCTAATAGGACGGTCCTATACGGCGGAGGGTACCCAATTTTAAGTCGAACTTGCTTTACTTTAAAGTCGAACTAGCCTATGGATTCGGTATCTTTGGTCTATTTAATGTAGAGATCGTTAACCCTGTTAAACTCTTTTAATGTATAGCGAAGTGCAAATATTAAAATACTTATCTGAATTTCGCAGATGGCTTCTCGTCCTTGTTAATTTCTTACTAAAATAATTTATTACTGCAATAATTTATCTTAACATTAAACATTAATATACTTTTGTATAAAATTACCATATTTTTTTTAATGTAGTGATTATCGCATTTCCGTAAGATATGTTATTAACATTAACATTAACAATAAAAAAATCAGGGTGGTTTTGTTTTTCAAAGAGATCAAAACTTGTGTTTCATAAAATGTTAATACAAATAAATTTCAAAATAAAAATAAAACTGTTCGTGTTTGTAGTTTTCATTTCATGTTTTAAACAATTTTGTGTCTTACTTATTGTTGATGGTATATTTTGGTTATCATGGATGGGGTCCCGAAAAGATGGTAAGTTAATTTGGTTTGGAGTTATTTTTGCTTTGATAATTTATTGCTTTAAGAAATTTTTAAATTGAAGATATTTTTCGTGAGAAATTTTTGCCTTGTGAGTTTTTGTTTTGAGATATTTTTGTCATAAGAATTTTTGCAAAGAGTTATTTTTGCTTTGATAAATTTATTTTAATTCTTTAAAAATTAAAATAGTTTTCGGCTATGCATTGAGTTTATATAACAGGCCCATGGACACGGGGGAATGGAGATTGGGCGTTCAAACCCCGTCAGGAGAGTTTTTAAATTCAAAATGTGTTACTTTATATACTAAAAAATAACCTGAAAATAATAAAATAAATATAAAATAACTGTAATCTCAGATTTTTATCGAAAAAATTTAGGAGTCTATAGAACCGGCAAAAATAAGATGCTTAGTTTTCGAGGTACAGGGTGGTGAGGTTATTAAAAAAATTATATTTTTTCAAAAATTTTAAAAACTCCTTGCTCGAGTTTAGCTCTTTAGGTTTTTACTAATGGGGAAAGGGCTTAATTTAATGTAATTAAATTTAATTTAGTTATTCCAGAGGCGGCGCTGGGGTATCCCAACTAGATCCTAAAAATAAAATTTGGGTACTCTACTGCTTCCATCAGTTTAATAATATTTTTAAATTAGGCAATAATAAGTAGACTATTTTTTTCTTCTGCATTTTTCTCTATCTTGTTTATTTTTCAAGATAAAAATAAAATTCGTTTATTTTTCTGCTCCTGGGTATTTTTAGTAATCAACGTAAAGGATCATTTTAATTGCTTTATTTAAATGTAATATGAAACATATAAAAAGCAGTGACTTTAACAAAAAGATTTAAAGCATACACTGTTATAAAAATCAGATTTGTTAACACAAGTTTGTAGTTTGTTAATATATTTTGTAAAATTTTAACATAATTTTTTTTACCGAAAGTTTTGTAAAGGTAATAGGTATGCAATTTTGTTAGCATTTTGTTAATTTTAAAGGTTACAAATTATTTTGTTAATGTTTAACAAATTATTTCGTTGAAAAAGTACACGTGATTACGCATCAATAAGTTCAACTGACTTTAGCGTCTGCAAACTTATGATTCTGATTACTTTATTCTTTTATTCTAATTCGTAACGTGTTCGTAACAACTGGCCAGATTGTTTATAATCTATTACCAGAAATCTGTTATTATTGCAATACATGTTATTCAGATTCCTTATACATATTTAACGAATGTGAGAAGTGCACAGTATAAAATATGCCATCACTGGTTTTCAAACTGAAATAAGGAGATACAACGAAGTGGGTTAAAGTTACGAAATACATCAGTATGTGTTGTAGTAGAACTGATTCTTATATTGTACCAAATTTCTTTATAATTTAATTATTTCAGAATGGTGTGTTATTTTTGTGTTCATTTATGAAGGTATGTGTTATTTTTTGTTTAGGTAATTGATTAATAAAGCAACATTTCTTATTAAAATTCTTTTCATTTAAGTTTCCAATTTCCAATAAATACTTTTTTTACTAGGTCTATAAAAAGGATTGTAAAAATAAGGTCGTTTTTAAAAGTTACAAGATTTATGGTTGAATAATTATTATTGACATATAATTTTGTTATTTAATCTACAAAATGTTTATTATATTTATACCTATAGTTAATTTTAACAAACTATTAACCAGATTTTATGTTAATTCAGGTCCACATAACCAAGTGATTATTATAAGTATATATATATAATTTACCAAATATTTTTTTACTTTGCAACTTCATATAAATTTTTCTATTGAATATTTCCGATTAAAATCTGAAACACCCTGTACAATATATTATATTTTATCTATACCTCCATTTATTGATGTTTTTTTGTAATACTACATTTTTATGAAATTTGATAAACCCCCCTCCACAAGCAAATCCTGCGCTCCTCCCTAAAATATAACTGTATACTACTTATATTAATACTGTCAATAATAATCATGATGGATCAAAATACAAGCAATTCATTAATTAATTTAAATAATTGACATATTTTTATGCATTTTGTTTTAATTAAAAATTCATCAAAATAACGTCTAAATTACAAAAAAGCTGTTTTTTATTCAAAATCCAAACTTAGAATTTAATTTTTTGCTTCAGGTTTGTATGCTGATGGACGTATTCATTGGTACCAATATTCTTACTGCCTGGGTGGCAGTCTACTTAGCCCTTCCTATCCTAGCAAGTAGTGCTTTCAATCCATGGGTATACGGATATCGAAATTCAGAGTTAAGGGCAGCTGTCAGAAGAGTTGTTGATGATTTACTTACTGCATTAGGTAAGTTTTATAGTTTTTTTATTTTGTAAGGTATATTTGCATATAAATTGTTCAATATAAGTATATTAAAATTATAAAAATCAAGAACTTTTCTTTTATATAAATTGTACTGTATTAATAAAACGTGAGTTCATTGGAATATGGTTGGCTAAGTAAAATAATCCTTATGATAATAAATTTTATTTCAAATATCAATAACTTTATTTAAAATTCCCATGATGTAAAACTAATTTACTTACAAAATCGATGTCTCAATTAAATTTTAATAAACCAAGTTACAAACCTGGCACGTTTTTAAATACAAATATTTGTTTTTAAATTATTTTTCTTAGGCTTAGGTTTTTATATAAAGTAAATCGTTACATATATTTTAGTACCTTTCCATATATTTTTTTACAGAAATATACTAATATAATAGTATATATGGGGTATTCCATGCCAAATCGACCACTTTTAAACCCGACCCCTTTCGATTCGGCCAAAAGTTTTCGATTATTTTCTAACCTTTGAAAAACATTTTTAAATTTTTTTTCAAATTTTGTCATCCAACCCGAAAAAAGTTTGAAATTTTTCAAAAAAATAGGTTTTTTATTTTCAAATAGCCATAACTTTTTCAAAAATTGACCTTTTGGTATCTTATTTTTTTGAAACTTTTGTTTTTAAATGAATTTTTCGAAAAAATAGACAAAAAAATTTAAAATGATCAACTCTATGAAATTATCGCTTTTTTTAATAAAATCGTTATATTTGCGAAGTTCGCCATTTTTTATTTTTTATTTTTTTTCAAAAAAAAACTTCAAGTAATGTTACAATTATTCCCGCCAATCCCAGAGTGCGCCGATTTTTTTTTCTATTTTTTTTATTTAATTGAAAACAAATTGTCTAATTTTTAAAAATGTTTTTTTTCACAAAGTTTATTTATTTAGTAAAATAAATGCAATTCAACAATTTTAAGGTATTATAGGTATTCTCAATTTATAGGCTTAAGCTACGACTATAATGCAAGCTGGATTTTTTAGTTTTTTAATATCTCTTTAAATAAAGATTTAATAGATTTTAAAGGGGTGTCCCATTTAAATGAAAATACCCTGTACATGGTATGTTACACAAAATTAGCGTTAAACTGACATACATAATTTTTTTTACAATTTATGAATAAATGGCTGGCGCCTACAATTAAATTAAGCTTTTTATTCTTATGCGATTGCTTGGGAAACATGCCTTATTGGAATTAATGAGGGTTAAGAGTTAATAAAATTGGTTAAATATTATAAAATGTTGGTGCCCACTGCCCTTTAACCTCCTTGCTAAAATTCCTAATTGCTTAAAATAAATAAATATAAATATTTAACAAGAAAAGAAAAGAGGCCCCTGAAATTAAAAATAATTCTATTCCAAAAATGAAAATATATGATAGGTTTATTTTAACAAAAGTTTACAGAGCAAATATAAGTTTATTTTTAAAAAGACTTTGAAAAAAAACAATCTATGAAATACCCACCTTTTATATCAGAAAACAGATGCATTTTGAGCAGTCATCAATATATTTGTTAGTTGTTTTAACTTTTTTTAACATTACCGGTAACATCTGCTTTTGCCGAAAGAACATTTTTAAAGTTGAAGTGCGAGGTAAGACTTAGTGCTTTGGATGTAATCAGTATAAATGAACGTGCTTGTAAAGTTGATTTAGAACATTTGGTCGATATATTTTTAAAACAAAAATATCGCCTTTTAGGCAATTTAACATTGCTCCCCTAAACTATATTTCTTGATCTATTCCCTAATCGCTTTACTAGCACCAGACATATGGTAAGATTTTATATTTAAAGGCAATTAGCAAATTATGGTATTATTATATTTATTCTTTGTAAAATATGTTGTAACATCCAAAAGATACATTTCACAAAAGGATATCCTCTTATATATATATGTATTACTAGAACTTCGTTCCACCTAAAATTCTTTATAAGCAATTATCAATCCTTTTGAACCTTCATTAAACACTGTAAAACGACAAGGAATTGTTTTCTCAGTCGCTCAAATCTGTCAAACTTACCTTTATATCTTTACTATTTAAACTAATTTAAACAAATTAAGAACTTTCCTATTTAAACTAATTTCTCTCTAAAAAATTTAATGATTAAGTTTGAAGTTATGTTTTTTCATTTAATTTGAAGCGCAGCTACGAACGCCATCTATTCAAATTAATCCAAAGTTGTACGAATTTTGATTTGTCCGATTATGAGAAATGCCCAGTTTTCCCCATAATACAGAAAATTTTCCATGTTCGTGGAAAAACTTAAAATTTTGTCTATATATCCGAAGTTTTTTCTTACAATTTACGTTACTAGTCTTTTAAAACATGTTTCATTACTAGTAACAATACTCTCTAAAAATTAATTAGTCAAAAATGATTAATTACTACAGTTATTAATGGCTGCTTTACTTATACCATGGTATACCATGGGATACTACGGTATCCCCGACATAATAGTCAATTCTTATGTAAAATTGTCCCCTGAATCCGAAAATACTGTCAAAAATTATAAAAGTAGAGCAGTTTTTGAGATATAGACAATTCCATATTATATGGAAAATGGACTATATCCCAAAAACTGTTCTACTTTTATAACTTTTGACGACATTTTCGGATTATGCGGACAATTTTACATAAGAATTTGCTATTATGTCGGGGATACCATGGTATAACTGCAGTAATTAGTCATTTTTAGAGAGTAGTGACGCTATAATCCTTTATTTTTCTTAAAAACATGCTTAAACCAGTCAACTTCATGAAAAGGGCAATGTGATATAGACTTTTGACATTTTTCTACGCCTTAAAAAAATATTTGTTAATTTTTACCAAATATTAACCAGATTTTATGTTAATCCAGATCCACATAAGTCTATGTTAAGTTTACAACTAACTGTTATCTGTTAACTAATTAAATAAGTAGTAGTAATTATAACAAACATTTTGTAGATTTAATAACAAAATCCTGTCAATAATTCAACCATAATTCTAGTAATTTTCAAAAAGGACCTTATTCATATCAAAAGTATTTTTGGGAATCTAAATCAAAAGAATTTAAACAAGAAATGTTGCTTTATTAATCAATTTTGGAAAAAAAATTAACACATACCTACATAAACGAACACAAAAAATAACATACACATAATTAAAAAACACACCATCATAAAGAAATTTGGTACAACACTTACTGATGTATTTCGTAACTTTAACCCACTTCACTGTATCCCCTAATTTTAGTTTAAAAACCAGTGATGGCATCTTTTTTCGGATACTTTGCACTTCGCACACTTGTTAAATAATTAACAATAGTAACAGATTTCTGGTAATACACTGTTCAAAATTTCATGACCATTTTAACACCAAATTAACACCATACATGGTCTATATCGATACAAACCAAAATGGTGTTAAATAAGGTTCGTTGGTCCGGAATAATTGAAATACTAAAATGGTGTAAATTTAACTTTCACACAGTATTAAAATAAATTTTACCTGGTGTAAATTGTGTAAATCAGTGTTAAATATAATGTGTTCTTGGTCAAATTAAATCATACTACACAGAAAAAAAGGAAACAGGATGTTCCTTGACGCATTACAAGTATATTACCAGTGGTATTATTCCAGAAAATTGAACCTTCAACTCGCTAGAGATAATGTTTTTTGTGCGTTCCACCAACTTAAAATACTTCAAGTATTGACAGCTGGTTCCACCTATTTAAGGTCTCTTTAGTATCGAACAACTTGTAGTGTCACACCAAAGCAAAGGACTACCTGAGCTTATATACTCTTCATGTAAGTCAACAGAGGCGAGATTTAAGAACATTACTTGAAACACACGCGAATGGTACACACTATGTAATCAGGAATGCACGGCAAATTTTTTTAATCGTTTTAATCGTTTTTAGGTTGAAGTAACTTTTATTTTACAAATAACATATTTAGTAAACTGAACCATACAGCGGGTTGGTTTCACTAAAGTTTTCTGGGTTAATTTAACCAATTTCAAAAAATAAATTAACTATCTGGTTTAGTACCGTCAAACTAAACTTTGTTTATATTAATCTTCCCACAGTTGATTTAAATAAATACTTATGGGTCAACTAAATTAATATAGTTAAATGAACTATTCCTTTTTTTCTGTGTAGGTGCACTTCTCAAATATTTTTAGATAAACACCGTTTTGGTGTTTGCTGTATAAAACATTTTCAACCGCAATTCATGGTGTTGGATTTTGACACCATTTTAAGATTACTTTTCATACCACAGATATTTTAAACAGTGTATATGTATTATAAACACTCTGGGCAGTTGTTACGAACACGTTACACATAAGAATAAAGTAAGCAGAAACATAAGTTGCAGACGCTGAAGTCAGTCGAACTTGTTGATGCGTATTGTCAGTGGGAAATGTTTTGATTAACTGCCTGAAATCACGTGTACTTTTTCAACGAAATAATTTGTTAAATAATAATCTGTTAAATAATAATCTGTAACCTTTGAAATTTACAAAATGCTTACAAAATTGCATATTACCTTTAAAAAACTTTCGGTAAAATATTGTCCTTTATTAAAATAATTATAATTGTATACAAACGCTAGTTTTCTACAAAAAAAATTGTCAAAATTTTACAAAATTAACAAACTACAACAATCTGATTTTATTACAGTGTAAAAAAAATTATATTTGAATTAAATTTAACAAATAAAAATAAATCAAATTTTTTAGTAAAAGTTATATAAATGTGATTTGTATCTCTAAATTTATATTTACCCTATAGGGAAGTTTTTAAATCCGATAATTTTGCCAACCAAACAACTCAATTTATTTTCCCACAACGTATTTTTAAGTCGATACAATTTAAATAAGTTTTTATTTTTATACCTCAAGGATTGTTAAGGCGAGGCGCTGTGAACTTAAAAAGTCTCAAGTCTAAAGATACGGCCCCAAAGAGCAAAAATGCATTAA